ACTGGAAAATTTAAAAAAATGGAAAATTGAAAAATCGGATAATTCAAAAATCGAACATCGAAAAATCGAAAAACCGACAAATCGAGAAATCCAAAAATGAAAGGATCGAAAAGCCGAGAAGTCGAAAAATTGGGAAACCAAAATAAGCCAAAATCAAAAAATCGAAAAGTAAAAAATGGAAAAATTGAGAAATCGAGAGATTGAACAATCAAAATATAGAAACATCTGAATCTCGATAAATCGAAATCTCAAAAAATTGAAAAATCGAAAATTTAAAAATTCGAAAAATTGAAAAATTAAAATATGGAAAAGTTGAAAAATTGAGAAATTGCAACATAAAACAATCGAAAAATTGAAAAATCTAAAGTTTAAAAAACGAAAAACTGAAAATCCAAAAATAAAAAATTGAAAAATCCAGAATTCGAAAAGTCGAAGAATCGAAATACTGGAAAATTGAAGAATTAAAAATTTGGAAAATTGAGAAATCGATAAACAAATAAAGCGAAGTCGAAAAATCGAAGAATTGAAGAACCGAAAAATCGAAACTTTGAGAAGTGGGAAAATTAAAAATAGATTAATTGAGAAATCGGAAAACTGAAAATTTAGCAACGTAAAAATTTGAAAAATTGAAAAATAGAAATTCTGAATAACTGAAAAATTAAAAAATCGAGAAATCGAAAAATCTAAAATTTAAAACAATGAACACATGCAATTATCAAAAAATCGAAAAATCAAAAATTCAAAAATTTAAAATTTAAAAATCGAAAAACTGAAAAATCGACAAATCGAGAATTCAAAACCCCAGAATTTAAAAAATTAAATTTAAAAATACCTAAAATTGAAATATAGAAGAACTGAAAACTCGAGAAATCGAAAAACCTAATATTTTAAAAACTGAAAAGTTAAAATATCGAAAAGTTAAAAAATTTAGAAATCGAAACATAAAACAGTTAAATTGAAAAATCTAAAGTTTAAAAAACGGAAAATTGAAAATCCAAATAGTAAAAAGTCGAGAAATCTAAAAATTCCGAACTCGAAAAGTCGAAATACTAAAAAATCCCAAAACTCAAATATCGAAAAATTGACAAATAGAAGAAAAATTGAAGAATCGAAAAACTGAAAAATCGACAAATCGAGAATTCAAAACCCCAGAATTTAAAAAATTAAATTTAAAAATACCTAAAATTGAAATATAGAAGAACTGAAAACTCGAGAAATCGAAAAACCTAATATTTTAAAAATTGAAAAGTTAAAATATCGAAAAGTTAAAAAATTTAGAAATCGAAACATAAAACAGTTAAATTGAAAAATCTAAAGTTTAAAAAACGGAAAATTGAAAATCCAAATAGTAAAAAGTCGAGAAATCTAAAAATTCCGAACTCGAAAAGTCGAAATACTAAAAAATCCCAAAACTCAAATATCGAAAAATTGACAAATAGAAGAAAAATTGAAGAATCGAAAAACTGAAAAATCACAAAATTGAACGAAATATCGAAAAATTAGGAAATTGAAAAATTGAGAAACCGAAAAGTCAAAAAAGCAAAGTCGAAAAATCGCAAATTAAAGTCGAAAAATTGAAAAACTGAAGAACTGAAAGATCGAAACTTTGGGAAGTGGAGAAATGGGAAAAAAAAATTAATTGAGAAATACGAACACTGGAAATTCAGAAACGTCAAAATTTCAAAAATTAAAAAATATTGAAGAATGGAAAAATCGAAAAATTTAAAATTTAAAACATTCAAAAATAAAATATCGTAAAATTGAAAAATGGAGAAATCCAAACATCAAAAAATAAAAAAAATAAAAAATTTGAAAATCGAAAAACTGAAAAAACAACGAATCGAGAAATCGAAACTGGAAAATTTAAAAAATTGGAAAATTGAAAAATCGGATAATTCAAAAATCGAACATCGAAAAATCGAAAAACCGACAAATCGAGAAATCCAAAAATGAAAGGATCGAAAAGCCGAGAAGTCGAAAAATTGGGAAACCAAAATAAACCCAAATAAAAAAATCGAAAAGTAAAAAATGGAAAAATTGAGAAATCGAGAGATTGAACAATCAAAATATAGAAACATCTGAATCTCGATAAATCGAAATCTCAAAAAATTGAAAAATCGAAAATTTAAAAATTCGAAAAATTGAAAAATTAAAATATGGAAAAGTTGAAAAATTGAGAAATTGCAACATAAAACAATCGAAAAATTGAAAAATCTAAAGTTTAAAAAACGAAAAACTGAAAATCCAAAAATAAAAAATTGAAAAATCCAGAATTCGAAAAGTCGAAGAATCGAAATACTGGAAAATTGAAGAATTAAAAATTTGGAAAATTGAGAAATCGATAAACAAATAAAGCGAAGTCGAAAAATCGAAGAATTGAAGAACCGAAAAATCGAAACTGAGAAGTGGGAAAATTAAAAATATATTAATTGAGAAATCGGAAAACTGAAAATTTAGCAACGTCAAAATTTGAAAAATTGAAAAATAGAAATTCTGAAGAACTGAAAAATCAAAAAATCGAGAAATCGAAAAATCTAAAATTTAAAACATTGAACAATTAAAATATCGCAAAATTGAAGAATCGAGAAATGCAATTATCAAAAAATCAAAAAATAAAAATTCGAAAATGTAAAATTTAAAAATCGAAAAACTGAAAAATCGACAAATCGAGGAGAATTCGAAACCCCAGAATTTAAAAAATTGAAAAATTGCAAAACCGGATAACTAAAAAATTGAAACATCGAAAAATTGGAAAATCGAAAAATTAAAAAAAAATGGAAAATCGAAAAATTAAAAATTCCGAAATTTGAAATCGAAAAACCTAAAATTTTAAAAATTGTAAAGTTAAAATATCGAAAAGTTAAAAAATTTAGAAATCGAAGCATAAAACAGTTAAAAAATTGAAGAATCTATTTAGCTAAAAAACGGAAAATTGAAAATCCAAAAAGTAAAAAGTCGAGAAATCTAAAAATCCAGAACTCGAAAAGTCGAAATACAAAAAAATCCCAAAACTCGAATATCGAAAAATTGAAAAATAGAAGAAAAATTGAAGAATCGAAACACTGAAAAATCACAAAATTGAACGAAATATCCAAAAATTAGGAAATTAAAAAATTGAGAAACCGAAAAGTCAAAAAAGCAAAGTCGAAAAATCGCAGACTTAAAAAATCGAAAAATTGAAAAATAAAAAAATTGAAGAACCGAAGAACTGAAAGATGGAAACTTTGGGAAGTAGAGAAATGGGAAAATAAAAAAATAGATTAATTGAGAAATACGAACACTGAAAATTCAGAAACGTCAAAATTTGAAAAATTAATAAATATTGAAGAACTGAGAAATCGAAAAATCTAAAATTTAAAACATTGAAAAACGGAAAAATCAACGAATCGAGAAATCGAAACTCGAAAATTTAAAGAATTGGAAAATTGAAAAATTGAAAAATCGGATAATTCAAAAATCGAACATGGAAAAATCGAGAAACCAAAAAGCAAAAATTCGAAAAATCGTCAAATCGAAATCGAAAAATGAAAAGATTGAAAAATCGAAAACTAAAAATGGAAAAAATTGATAAATCGAGAGATTGAACAAACAAAACATGGAAACATCCGAATCTCGATAAATCGAGATCTCAAAAAATTGAAAAATCGAAAATTCAAAAATTCGGACAATTGAAAAATTTAAATATAGAACTGGGAACTCGAGAAATGGAAAATTTTAGAAATTTGAAAATTGAAAAATTAAAATATGGAAAAGATGAAAAATTGAGAAATTGAAATATAAAACATCGAAAAATTGAAAAATCCAAACTTTTAAAAACGAAAAACTGAAAATCCATAAATAAAAAATCGTTAAATCTAGAACTCGAAGAATCGAAATACTGAAAGAAATATCGAAAAATTGAAGAATTGGAAAACCGAAAAATCGAAACTTTGAGAAGTGGGAAAATCAAAAATAGATTAATTGGGAAATCGGAAAACTGAAAATTTAGCAACGTCAAAATTTAAAACATTGAACAATTAAAATATAGCAAAATTGAAGAATCGAAAAATTCAAACATCAAAAAATAAAAACTCGAAAATTTAAAATTTAAAAATCGAATAACTAAAAAATCGACAAATCGAGAATTCGAAACCCCAGAAATTAAACAATTGAAAAACCGGATAACTAAAAAGTCGAAAAACTGAGAAATCCAAAAATCAAGACATCGAAAAATTCAAAAACTGAGATATCGAAAAATCCAAAAATCAGAGGATCGAGAAATTGAGGAGTCGGAAGCCCAAAACAAAACTTAAAAATCAAAAAAATGAAAAATCGAAGAATTTTAAAAAATAAAAACTAGAAAATCGAAAATTTAAAAATTCGAAAAATTGAAATATAGAAGAACCTATGAGAAGAACTGAAAACTTGAGATATCGAAAAACCTAGAATTTTAAAAACTGAAAAATTGAGAAATAGAAATATAAAACAGTCGAAAATCCCAAAAATAAAAAACCGAGAAATCAAAAAAAAATCCAGCAATCCAAAAATCGAAAAACTAAAAAAGTTAAGTCGAAAAATCGTAAGCTTAAAAAAATCGAAAAATTGAAAAATCGAAACTTTTGGAAGTCGACAAATGGAAAAATAAAAAAAATACTTCAGAAATCGGAAAACTGAAAATTTAGAAACGTGAAAAATTGAAAAATCGAAATATTTAAAAACCGTAAAATTGAAGAGGACAAAAATTGAAAAATCGGAAAATTGAGAAATCGAAAAATAAAAAAATCGAGAAATCGAAAATTTGAAGAATGGAAAAATTTAAAAAGCCCAAAATTGAAATATTGAAAAATTGAGACCTCTAAAGTTAAAAATCTAGAAATCGAAAATCATATTTATAGGATTTTTTCATGCCTTAGGAAAACAAAAAGTAAAAAATACAATAACAACTCGAATTTTTGAACAGTATATGTTGTGTATTTATTTATCAATTTCTGTCGTTTAGATGTTTGTTTTGGATTTTTCAGGGTGGAAACAATGCAGGACACACGGTGGTGATCGAAGGGATGGAATATGATTTTCACTTGTTGCCGAGTGGTATTATCCATCCCCAATGCACTTCCGTCATTGGTAAGCGCTTTTTTTGTTTTTATTACTTGTTGCTCGATCAGATCGATTTTATTGTATTTGAGCTTGTATTTCAATTACATTTAATGAAAATCGAGTTTTGTGACGAATTTTTTCGTAAATTGTGCAACATTTGGGTGTTGCGTCAAAGTACGCAACATTACATATGTGTATTATATTACAAACAAGATTATTTTTGCTCGTGACCCAAACATTTAATATCAAATTCTCTTCAATTTACCACAAAAATAATTCAGATATTCCAACTTTTGCTTTATTTATTGATCTAAGAATTACAAACACGCAATAGGTTATTAAATAAAGACTTGTCTTGCATGACATAATAAACATCATCAGTAATTTTATAACAGAAGTACCATTTGGCGAATGGTACCGTTCCAAAAGCATGTTAATAAGTTTGAAGGTTGAATGTTCCTCAGTATTTTAAATAAATAACTTGGATGTTTGCTTTATCTAGGGAATGGCGTGGTAATCCATTTACCAGGATTGTTCGAAGAAGTGGAAAAAAACGAAAGAAAAGGGCTGCAGAACTGGGAAGGACGCTTGATTATATCGGACCGCGCTCATTTGGTTTTTGATTTCCACCAACAAGTTGATGGACTCCAAGAACAAGAAAACACCCAAAAAGGTCAAGGTTTAGGGACTACGAAAAAAGGGATTGGACCGACGTATTCGTCGAAAGCGACAAGAAATGGCATCAGAATTGGGGAATTGTTAGGAGATTTTGCGCAGTTCGAAAAAAAGTATGCTCGTGAGAAAAGTTTTGGTTTTTTCTAATTGACTACTGTAACTGTAGATTCAAAGGCCTAGTGAATATGTATCAGAGGATGTTCCCGGACTTGAAAGTCGACGTCGAAAGTGAATTAATTAGGTACAAAAAATTCGCCGAGAAAGTAAGGCCTTTTGTTCACGAAACGGTTTCCTTCCTGGACAAAGCAATAAAAGCGGGGAAAAAAGTATTAGTGGAGGGTGCCAACGCAGCAATGTTGGACATTGACTTTGGTAAGTGTATTTAGTAAGTAGAATGTAGTTTTATTGTATATTTTGCATTATTCTGTAAACAAATTCTCACGCAGTATGTCTACAGTTTACAATTTCAGGGACTTATCCTTATGTTACATCTTCGAATTGTAGTGTGGGTGGGGTATGCACAGGCCTAGGGCTTTCGCCTTCAAGAATTGGTGAAATTATAGGTGTTGTTAAGGCCTACACAACGAGGGTAGGAGACGGTCCTTTCCCGACTGAACTACACGATGTAAGGAAAATTTAATATCTCCCACTAGTCATACAATTGCGTCAATTCCTTACAGAGTGTTGGGCAATGTTTACAAGAACGAGGTGCCGAATTCGGTGTCACCACAAAGAGAAAACGGAGATGTGGTTGGTTGGATATCTTCCTTCTTCAGTATAGCAACATGATAAATGGTTACACCGCTTTATGCCTAACGAAACTTGATATATTAGATACTTTGCCTGAAATCAAGCTCGGTGTTGGATATAAATTAAAAGGAAAGGCGATTGATTATTTCCCGTCTAGTGCGGCGGACCTCGGTGAAGTAGAGGTAATTGATTTGTTATTATAATTTTTAAGCGACTTGTTGAATTTTTGAATTATAGGTTGAGTACATTACGCTGCCTGGGTGGAACACGTCTACAGCAAACGTACGAGAGTTCAACGATTTGCCAGAAAACGCGAAAAAATACGTCGATAAAATCGAGCAGTTGCTAAATGTTCCTGGTACGGTATTACTAATTTTGTAATATTTTGTAAAGTACACCATTTGTATTTCAGTGAAATGGATAGGAGTCGGCAAAGGCCGGGAGTCCATTATAACAATAGCAGCCCAGTAAACACTACCACAGTACACGTTTTAATTAAATTTTTAATGTGTAATTTCATCATTTTAAAATTATTGCGCTATAGTGAAATATGCAATAGTATTAGACATTAAGTACAAACATGTATTTAAACCGAGTATTTGTTGTTTATTCTTATTTTTGTTTAATTTAGAAAAATTTTTATTGCAAATATGTTTATGAATTGAATTGTTATCAAGCTGATGGTTTTTGTAAAGGCAAATTTAAATTTTCACTTTGCACAAATATTAAGTAGAAGTGTAGGTAATCAGTTGAATTGTGGCTTCCAGTATTTGCTACAATAATAATAATATTGTTATATATTTGTGCAGTTGACTGAATCATTGGCTGTAGTGCCTATTAAATTTTGTATACAATATTTAAAAGTGCGCAATTTATTTGAATTGAGTACTTGATACCCAAAGGATTTTGGCTTTTTAATTGTCGGTAAAATTGTGTACAAGTTGCGTGTTATCTACGTTATAAATTATCAAGTATCACAGAAAATGGATAAGCAACAAGTGTAAATATAGTATTTCTTATCTGCTATTAACTACAGTTAGACTTTGTTTTACAGGTGTAATTGATATTAGGATTAGTTACTTTTGAGAATCCAGCGATTAACTTGGTTTTAATAAATCGTGCGCACACGCCTTAATAGGAATTTTACACTTCTATTAAGTTTCTAAAAATTTATTTATGTAATTTGAAGGAAACCCTTAATTGTATTTTCTTTGTTTCAATATAACTGGTTCTATTTTTCACTTGATGCTTAATCGCAACTTTCTGATTGTTGTATAAATATATTTTAAAAGAAATGTTGTTCTTTTTGTTATGATCATATTAATTTGCCGTTTTGTTTCTAGAATATTGAGTTATTTTGTCGTGAAAATAGCTTTTAAATTATTTAACATTGACAATCTAATTTATTGCATTGTCACTCCACTAACTGATAAATTTTTTTGTTTATCATTTTCCATAATCTATAAAATTTTATCATAGTCGTTGTTTGATGCGTAAAATGGTGTCTTTGACAGGAAATTGTAAAATTTTTAACAAGCAAAGAACTTTTTTTAAAGTCAACAAGCGGCAAATGTAGATGGTACATTAAGTTTATTTTTGGATGGAAAGACATATTTAGCAATACTTTCTTGGAATGGAATTTAAAAGTTGGTAACTTGTCTTGTTTATATTTGGACAAGAATTCTAACTCAATGTCTTCTTTATCAAAATGAAGCAAAAATGTGTCCTGAACTCTTAAACGTTGTGTACATAATAAAAATGAAAGAAAATACAGACATGAATACTATAAAAATTAAGCTTTAAGAAAATTTGCAGTAGTTGGATATGCTGCAAGTTGCAAGATACAAAAATTAAAATTTAACACGTTTAGAACGTTATATTGTATGTATAAGACTGATATACTGACTTCTTCAGAGATACGGTGGTATTTATAAAAATGAAACTTAATCCATACAGTGAAAAATTTTTTTAGGTAAATTCCGTTCGTTAGATTTCCATTCTCGTTTGGTGTGCAATTTTTGATTAAAAAAACTATAAACTTGACCAATTTTCACACAACAAACTTTAAACGGACACGTTCATGAATTTTTTAATGAAATGCTGAAAGTGTTTGCGTTCTGAGATAGGAGATACACCTTTCTTGTGATACCATTTATAATCCTAAAAAATTCTGGTTCTAATTGTGAATCCTCTTTGTTGCGTGGTTGGTTGCCGACCACAAGTTTCGGGATGAAAATCGATTATGTAGTGTAGTAACTGTCCCCTAGAAGGCGCTGGTTAACCTTCAAACATTTTTTAGTAGAAAATCTGAGATCCGAATTTTCAGTTACAATACCGTTTTAATGATTCTAGAAAACTCTACTTTCTAAAATAAACTTTCAAAATGTGTTGTAAAATGTTGATTTTTACTTCCCGAACGTAAGCTAAGCAAGTACAGTAATCGACAGTCATGAACTCATGACATCATGACCTATAGAGTCTGATAAAGTGGTCTCCCGTTTCCGTCTATCTGTCTGTCTGTCTGTCTGGTGTCTGTATCCATTTTTATTAGACACGTAATCTCCGAAATTGCCGGACCGATTGTTTTGTATGTATATGTATTAGGAATATCATGTAAATAGTTAAACGCTAATTAAAATTTGGCAATCATCCCACCACCAATGGGATAACGTCATTTCCAAAATTTATAGTAGTAATTGTTTTAAATTTTATAAAAGAAGATACCCCTGCACTGGTCTGTGAATTCGTGGAAAAAATTCGGAACTGTATAACAATATTTTGCAATTTAACTTTGAAACTGAAGTTCTTTGTTTATTCCCTCCCAAAAAATTGATGACGTTATCTCCAATTTTTACGAATAAATCCTCTATATACCAAATATTATCAATGTATACTTATGGTTTATCAACGCACTCATCCTTTTGAGAATTACTTATACAGGGTGACACAAAAAGTTAATGAAAGAGTCAGAGATAATGTATTTATATTAGGAATATCATGTAGACGGTAAAACGCTAACCAAAATTTGTCTAATAGTAAATGGGTTTTGAATTGTACAAAATAACATAGTCCTATACGTGTAGTTTATGACTCCGTGTTGAGTTTTTACCGGAAACGTCCAGATTTTTGGAAAAAAATCAAAATTATAAAACATTTTGCAATTTAATTTTGAGTCTGCAAAACCGAATGCTTTGAAATCTTGCAGATGGTTTACAGTTATGATAACCATGATAAGTTTTTAATCAAAGTGTATGTGTTTATCAACCCCAAAAAAATTGATGTTGCATTAATATTTTTTTTAGATTTGCATATACAGGATGACTCGAAAAAATTATGAATGAGTCAATTTATTTTATTGATTGAATCAAGCTTGCAAAACTGAATACTTTCAAATCTTGCAGACGTTTTAAAGTTATTGTAAGGATGGTAATCGTATTGTAAGGTAATCGTCAGGTTGATCATTTTTTAACCAAAATATATCTGTTTCTTCCCCTCAAAAAATTGATGATGTCATCTTAAAATTTTGCCGAGTAAACTCTATTCAAAAGGTGCAAAATATGATGAGATTTTACTTGCGATTTTTCATCGCATTCATATTTTTTAGCACAAAAAATTTTTTGAAATTCAATACTGTTATTTTTAGTATCATCATCAATCCTAGTTGATAAAAAACTTAACTCGAAAATATTAGATATGTTTCATTGTACTTCAGGAGCGAGGGAAGTTCTGTGGAATCAACTTCCGACCAATTTTTTTTCAAATATCGGAATTTCTAGTGTGGTGACCGAATTTGAATTAAAATTTCTCGCTGAAAAAAAACAACGGCGCGAAATTGCATTTGAATAATTTGAATTTGAAAAAAAAAATTCAGTCAAGAAAATCATTAAACATAGGCAACCATGTGCACGTTTAGTTCTTTTCTGGTAGTTGGTAGCTCCTAGGGAATTTTAGTTCGAGGGTTGGTAGTAAGAGGGTTGATAGCGAGGTGTGCTGGTTTGGTAGAGGGTCGTCACACGTCACTTTTTAAGTTTAGTTGGTTTAGTTGTTAGAAAAAGGGATGAAATCTTTGTTTAACGAAAATTAATCGTATCGATTGCGATGTCACAGTTTCCCCAACACGCGTAACTAATTCTTGCGGTTTTTCCAATGCGAATTTTCGACCGACGCTAACAGGTGGTGTAAATTTGTTTTATTGTTTGTAAATTCATGTCAGGATTTTAATCGTTAACTGGTTCTAACACAATTTAACAATCAGGAGATTATTTAGATACAGTACTGGCTAGGAGGTTTCGTGAGATTCACTTACTCAGGGCTCATCCTTTTTTTACTAAGTTATAAATAAAGACGGGCAAAATTACTTGGCTTGCTCGAAAAACGCTCCCACTACTCATTTTCACTGCCAGTCCAGGGTCGCGCGACCGAACATGCAGCGATGGGCGAAGCGAAACAATAACATAGCGCGCTACTGAAAGAAAGTGGTGGGAGCCGCATGCATTAACTTTGACTGTCTCTAGTTATAAATAAGGTTTCTAGATGCTTATACTTTATACTTAAGTGTTAAATTATAACATTTCTTAATTCCTCACACAAGATTGCTAATAGTTCATAACGGCAGTTAAATTAAACGTTGCCCCATTCTGGGAAAAGGACCGTGAAAGTGCAGTAGAATTCATAATATCGTGGAATGGGTTACGGAGGAATGAAAAATTTCTCCCCTTAGGCAGTTATTATCATCACATCATCACATCACCGAGACATATTTTCTCGCAACGTGGAAAATTACATCACCGAGAAGCTTTTCTCACAACGCCGGATGCATTTTGTGTTTATTTATCATGTGTTTGTCTAGGATAAGTTGATTGTTTTTAAGTAACCAATCACTTGGATAGTGGCATAATTTAACATAATGTAAATTCTTTGTTTGAATCGTTGATAAATTGCGGCGTCATTTCACATAATGTACATTCTTGGTTTGAATCGCTGATAAAGTGTGGCATAATTTAACATCAGGTAAATTCTGTGTTCTGGCAACCGTCATGTTGAAAGAGTATTTTCAAACCGAACACATGTTTGAACTGTAAAATTTTATTGAACAAATTAACAACATCGTAGGTCATGTGGGACGTGCATTTTATTCCTTTGATTTTCGCATTTCTAGGAGACATATTTTTGACGCACATTGCAGCTGAATAACTTCACTTTTAAAAAATTAACCAATAACTCGGATGGACATAAAATATTGATCTCATGTAATTTTGTTAGCTTTGCAATTTTTCACCTCATGTAATTTTTCTCTATCTCGCAGTTTTAACTTCAGTAATTTTCTTTGTTGTATAATTTAAATTTAACGTAAATTTTCATGCTCCGAATTTTCTAACCTCAGGTAATTTTTTTGTCTGCAGAAGTTTTATTTCACACCAGATCTTTTTTGTTTTTTATAAATCTTTGCTAGTTTTTGTTTATTAATGCTTCCATCATATAAATTGTCTGATATTCAATCTTAATCTATACTTCTATACTTATATAATAAAGCTGAAGCTTTTGTTTATTTGAACACGTTAATCTCAGAAACTACTGGTTCAAATTCAAAAAATCTTTTTGTGTTGGATAGTCTATGTACCATATCTACATATAGGCTACATAATATCACGCTACGATCATTAGGAGCGAAGTAGCAATGAAAAATTCGGAAAAACGGGAAAATTATTTCTCCTTTGACAGCTTCCGTTGCTGACGCTGCTTAAACGGTTAAAGTTACGTAAAAATCATGTATGACGAAATTGTTCCCCTCTAAAAGTTCTAAAGAAAAGTCCGCGACAGCATATGTCTATCTTTTAAGGTCGAGTCAGTATAACCTTTTTTATGATAATGAAATTTGTTCTAAAAGTAATAATGCATTATGTATAAAATTCTCGCGTCACAGTGTTTGTAACCGAACTTCTCCGAAATGGGTTGACCGATTTGTATGAAATTTTTTTAGGTATATTCGGTAGGTCTGCGAATAGGTTGTAAACTATTTTTTAAACCCCTAAGTGATAAGGATGGCCCACCCTAAAAAGTTTTTGTCTATTTTTTGGACACATTTTTTTATTTTTATTTTTTTAAGAATTAGCATCAAAAATTACACATAACCCTGAATTTTCACCTTTCTATCACCAACCTCCATTTTTAATCGTCTATATAATAAAAATCAATTGCTGTTCCTGTTAGTCTCGCTAAGACTCAAAAACGGCTTGATCGATTTGAAGAATTTTTTATATTACGGGGATGGTTTATAAATAAAAAAAATAAGGAA